TTTGTCTAGTAGGATACCTAATAAAGATATATGGTTTACCTCTTTCATCAAATTTGTCATTATACTTAGGATTGTGCATGTAAGCAAGGCATCTGAAGCTTCACAAGTGATCATATATTGGTGCCATGTTGAGAAGTGTCTCATACAGGGTTTTGTAATCAAGTGCTCGAGAAAGAAGTCTATTAATTAAGTATACTACAGTGAGCACACACTCCCCCTAAAATTGCAATGGTAGTCCTACCTAGAATCTCAATACACGTGCTATCTCCAAAATATATTAATGTTTATGTTCAACAACTCCATTTAGTTGAAGGGTGTATGGGCATATAGGTTGCAGAATGATTCCCTTTTTAGCATACAAACTGAGTATCTGGTTAGACTAAAACTCCACTCCATTGTCAATTCTCACCTTCTCCGCTAATTTCCTAAATTACGTCTCCACCATTATCAAAAATATTGGCTAGTATATCTTCACTTCGAACTTGGTTTTCATGAGATAAACCTATGTATAGTGATTGTAATCATCATCAATTGTGAGAAAATAGTATGCACCAATTAATTTTGTACCTACCCCATATATCACAGTGAATCATCTAAAAAAATGATTTCTTTATTGAACTGGGGGAATATACAAGCCTAGTTTGCTTTGCTCATACATAAGAGTCACAATATGCTAAGCACCTTTTGCTAAAAACATGAGAAAGAGAATCAATTTTCTTTATTTTATCCTCTGAAGGATGTCCGAACCTGTGGTGACATCTTTGTGGGTTTACTTTTCCCCACTCATGCATTGCTATCCTTTGCACTTTTTATGGCTTGAACATATATTGCCCATCATGCTCTCTAGCCACTCTAATCAAGTTCCTCAATTTATAATCCTGTATGAGAAAAATATTACTCATGAGTATGGAAATATAGTCATATGCCTTTACTAACTTTATTATAGAGAGAAAGTTGCATTTAAAATTAGGTATATATAAAACTTTCTCAAGTTTTAGCTTATCATTCAACATTGCTGAGCTAATACTCACAACTTCTATGCCATCTCTATTTGGAATTACACTGGTAGTTGATTCTTGGCCATCATAACGTCATGCAATATGGTGGAATCACAAGCAATGTGGTCAGTGGTGCTTGTATCAACCATCCAACATTTAGTAAAATTTACCATACCTACCACATTGGCACATTGAGGGATCTTTATCTTAGTGAGATCTATCTCCATTGATATAGTGCATCAACCTCTCATACTAATCTATTGCCAAGCTTGAGATGGGGCTCTCCATGGCATTTACTTGTGCCGCTCGAGGAGTCCCTTGCCTCTTACTCCATCCAGGCTTCTTTTCTTTCTTATCTTGGTCTTCTTTCTTCCAACTTTCAAGATATCCTATCAGTTTGTAGTAACAATCCTTAGTATAAACCAATTTTTGGTAATGGGCACACTTTGGTCACTCTTTTTGACTGTCTTTGGAACCCTTCCCTATTTAGACTTAAAAGGCTACTCCTTCCATCAAAGGCCTTTGCATGGTAGACACGTGTTGTTGCTACTCATCCTCAGCCACCAAGTGATATGCCTATCCTAAACTCGATGTTGGCTTCATACTTAAGATCTAAATTTTGATGGTGTTGGACTCTTCATCGAGTCCCGTGAGAAACTCATACAAGCGATCTCTCTCTTTCATGTCAATCAGCTTCTTGTTGATATTACAGGTGCAACCCCCACATTCATATTTAAGGAACAGCATGATCATTTCTATCTTACCTTATAAACTTTTCAGTTTTGTATAATAAGTTGGCACTGAGGTTCAATCTTGCCTTATCATTGCCACAGATCAACACAACTCATATGCACATGGAGTCCTCCCCTTTTTGAATTATTCTTCAAGGTCGACCCACATCTCATGTGCTATCTTTGCGTAACGTATGCTAACATGTACATCCTTGTCCATTGTACTTTTCAACCATCCCTTACTATAGAATTGCACCTCATCCATGGAATGAGATCTATTGAATTAGTAGAAGACATCAACAACATTCTATTATTAAAGCTAATTTTGTTCTTTGTGAAGAGAGCATTTCCCATGTCATTTACCCACTCCACATAATTCCCTTCATTAGCAGCTCACCTATATAGATCTGCCTAGGTTATCGGATGGATGTAGGTAGTAGGGTGATAATGCATCAACTTTACTTTTGTTCTCTGAGCTGTTCTTGTTTTGAAGAGCTTGTTCATTAAAACTGTTCATTTTCACTTTTCACAGGCATCGTGATTACTGCTCTGATACCATAAAGATTTTGGTAAAAGTATGTATTTCATTCTATCAATAGAAGTGTACAGCACAACCTATATATACAACTCTAACATAATCTTTGGTGCATGATATGCATGAATCCCGCATAATCATATTTATGTATAATGAACATTTATATTAGATATGCATGTGATTCTAACTAAATGTGATTCAGTCAAATGCTACGAGGACTCATTCTCAGCCTAAGCCTATAATGCTCACATCATGCGTTCTATTACAAACATTATATAAACCTAAAAGAATTGAACGCTTTTGATTAAATATCAACAAACTAAAATTCTAATGAATTAAAATTGAGGCAAATGTCTTCACTATCCTAATATGAAAATTTGAATAATGTCATAGGAAGGGACAAACAAATTTAGTGATAGCAAAATAACAAGCAACTTGTTCTTACCTATTGAATCTTCTTCATAGGATCTCCAATTATAAAGGTTGGGTTTCCATCACTATTAATTTCAAATAAACTTAAGTCCTATCCTTCTGGACATTTTAATAATAAATTTCCTCTCCAAGGACTTAGTTAGTAGTTCTGCCAAATTTAACTCTGATCTTACATAATTGAATATGTCTACTCTTGCCGTTAAAAGTCTTATTTTTAATCGTTACTATCACAAACTAGTTATCATAATGCAAAGATATTGGTGGTTTAAACTATTCACCCATTAGGATATTCATTAAGAAGTTTTTCAACTACTCAACCTCAGTCTCCAAGGCAATAAATTTAGAATCCCTTGAGGATTTTGTAATGATTTTGTGTTTTGCATACCTCCAAGTCACTACACCACCATCAAAAATGAATATATAACCACTAGTAAATTTTGTCTCTTGAATTTGAGATCTAGCTAGCATCATTGTATCCTTCCAATGCAACGGAAAATCTACTATAGAATAGACTATAATTTATAGTACCTCTCAAATATTTCAAAACTCTTTCCAATAGAGAATTGATTACTCTAAGGTCTATTGGCAATTGTGTTGTTATTCTCCTAAGCTCAGTTGTCAATGGATCTGAGAGTAAGTAATTGTCTTGATAGGGTTCTTAAAGTAATTCTCCCATAAATAAAATTAGGATTTAGGAAGATAGAAATTCAGGGAATCTCTTGGTATTCCTTGCACAATACAGGTGGAAGGAAAACAAAAAAGCCTATAAAATAGTGACGTATACACACAAATGAATATCCCACAATCAAGAGAGCAAAAAATAATTCCTTGCTCTTTAACAACAAAAGGTCATATATTCTTGCTTCTCCAAGTCGCGTGTACACTGTACAGACGTCTACGTGGATCGAGAGAATGAGTTGAAGGAGTTTGGTAGCACAGTGGACGAGTTCGTTTTTCTTTTTTTAACCCAAGGTATCCCTGCAGCCGTGAGGTCCTTGAGAAAGTTGAACATCATTTAAAAGATTGTCCTCTCTCAAGTAATATTTTTTCATACATACCTTAAGAAATCAAACCCTTAAATGATGTTTAAGGGGCCAGACTGCTACTACCTGTGCCACATTCACTTGGTGTGGACGATGTTATTAATTATGGTGTAAAATAGAAGTTGATGAAGCAAAATTGAGCAATAACACCAATAAAATCGAGTCGCTGCAAAATGGAGAGTTTATATTTTTCCACACTCGAAGGGAGATGGGACGAGATTATGGCGGAATACAAAAGCAGCGCAAGGATACACACGAGAGCAATCAACATCACTGTTAAATTCAATTTGAGGTGTGGTTGGAGAAAATATAGGATATTTGATTAAGGGCAAGATTGTATTTTAAAATTTATATTTTGGTATTTGGTACTTCTAAATAATTAATATTTTTAAGAACTTTTTTAATAAATATTATTTTGTACAGATGCCTCTCCCTAATTTTCCGTTTTTAATTGGTACTTGTTTTGTAATTAATTCCAATTTGTTGTTTAATATTTGTATTTAGAGGATAATAGAATTTTTCAAATTTATTGCATCTTTTTCAGATTTAACTGAAAATATCAACTAAAATTCCTTAAGCATTTTCTATTGAAATATTTTTAAAATAAAAAGTTTCTATTGAATATCAAATAAAATTTCCTAAGAAAAAATTATATTTTAAAATTAAAAAATTCTTGCAATTTTTTTCAGAAGGATGATAATAGAAGAATGTAAATTCTATGGCATGTAAAAGTAAAAAAAAAATTATACTCCCTTTATTCTAAATTATATGACACTTTTATGAGAGATTTGACATTTCAAAATATGAGACACTTTTAATAAAAATAAGGTTTTATTCATAATACTTTTCAATATTATCCTTTTCATAATTATATTCTCTATCTTTAAATATAATATTAAATGAATGACATTTTTTAAAGTTTATATTTTTATTTTAAAGAATAAGATTATAAAGTATATATTAATGAGCTTTATTTATATGTGTGACTTGGTCTAAAATTTTTTTGTAAATTGAAATGGAGGGAGTATGTAAACATTACCACCATGGAACCTTGATATCTTAATTTTTTGTGAATCATGAGGCAAAGAAAATACTTTTTCAAGTGGAATTTCTATTTGTCACATCTTTCCAAAAAGAAATAATCATGAAATGAAAAGTAAAACCAAACATGGATCCATCTGTATACGTTAATGCTCTCCGCACGCATCTCTTTATATATACCTCTCGACTCTCCTTTCCCTCCGCAAACAAACAAAAGGCAGAAATGGTGAAGTTCTCGAAGGAGCTTGAAGCTCAACTCATCCCAGAATGGAAGGAAGCCTTCGTCAACTACTGGCAGCTCAAGAAACAGATCAAGAGGATCAAGCTCTCCAAGCTTCCCAACAAGCCTCTTCTTCCCCAACCTGAATTCTGCCGCTCGGTTTTCAATTCTCTCAGCCGCTTTCTCGCCGGAAACTTCCTCTCATCTGGCGACAAATCTGATATCATAAGGGTAAAGTTTGTGTGGATTTCTAATAGTAAATAATTATGTTGGATTATTTTTAAAATAGATAGATGTCTTTTTATAAGTGGTGATATCGTTGTACAACTTAGTTTCCGGCCGGCCGGGCAGTTCCCGGAGAAGAAGCTGCTCGAGAGGATATATATTGATCGGTGCGATACATTTAAGATTGCGTGTGTTTCTGTGATTTTAAGAGGTTTGGTTTTGTTGTGTAGTTTTTTATGTCTTGATGCATAGAAAAGCATAAAACGTATGACATCAATTTCTGACACCAAATAATGTTTTCGAGATCCGTCTTTACTCCATTTAACATGAATCTCAAGCTCCACCAAATCTTCAAATCAAACTTATATTAGTCATGTAGAACTACTATATATATATATACATACATATTCTCCGTCTATATTTTTGGTCATAATAACACCAAATAAATTATATAAATGTTGAAACGATCCTGAAAATGTGTGTGTGTTTGTGCATATTCTATGTACTTTTTTTTTATATTTTTGGTCATAATAACACCAAATAAATTATATAAATGTTGAAACGATCCTGAAAATGCGTGTGTATGTGTATGCTATGTACTTTTATTTATTTTTTTTGTTCATAGTGTGCATGAGTTAAGAGGAAGAGAGAGATCTAAAAGTGAGTATGAGTGGTTTTTTTTTTTTTTTTCCCCTTCCTGCTTTTCTTTTCGGGAGTTTCTCATTCTCCCACGGTAGCAAGCAAAATGGCGGTAACATTTATGAAATCACCGTGGCCACAGTATATACAGATATTTATATATATATATATATATATAATTAAATAATGCAAGATTGGTCATATGAAAACTGAAATTGCACAAAAAAAAAAAACAAGAAGAAGCAAGTTATAATTATTACAAAAATTAATGCGGTTTCGTTATATGTTATAGGTCAGGAGAAAATTCAAGGAGGATACGCGCCAAGAAGTTTATGAAACTGAACTTGCTCAGTTGTTTTCAGAAGAAGATGAGGTCTCGACATTTCTCTCTTCCTTTGATGACACTATTTTCTAAGCTTTATTTTGAGATAAAGTATATATTTGTATTTTATATTATTATTAATTGCGTTGTATCTATTAGGTGCGTGTGTTTTTTGAAAGGCTTGATGAAGAACTGAATAAGGTAAACCAGTTTTACATGAGACAAGAGAGTGAGTTTTTAGATAGAGGAGAAATTCTGCAAAAGCAGCTCCAAGTAATGCTAGATCTCAAACAAATTCTCTTCGATCGTCGCCGGAAAAATTCTCCAGCGAAAACGTTTGGCTCTGGATTATCTTCTCCCTCTCTAGCCGGCGACTCCAATTTCTCCGGTCAGTTCTCAGCTCCACCATATATATCTCTTGTGTTTCTTTAATCATTATATTTCTCGTGTTTGATTCCTATATATATAATATGTACTCCCTCCATCCTACATTATAAGATATTTTTAGATAAAATTTTACATACTAATAAAAGTTTATTAAATACATTTTACAATTTTACTTTTTCAGCACAAAAATAGAAACTTTCAAAAATACCCTTCATGTAATATTATATTGATGAAAAAATATAGATGAGAAAAAATAAATGAAAAGGGTAATATCTAAAAACTATCATTAATGAAACTTTATTTTTATCAAAGTATCTTATATTTTAAAATGTTAAATTCTTTTTAAAAGTGTCTTATAATTTAGGACTAGGAGTATTACGCATAATCCTTTTGTTTTATTTTGTCCCTCTCACACCCACACATACTACCAATAAGCACCTCTAACGTACGTCCTTCACTGGACCAAAAAAAAAAAGGTTAGTTAAATTATTAATTTTATCCAAAAATAGAATAAACTTATAATTTTGTCCTATTTAAATAAAAAATTTTAAATTTTCTTTACATGGTTTCTCGTATTTAATGACGTTAAATAAGGATAATTATAGAAAAATGTAGTTAATCAATATCCCACCACATGTGCCTTATATTAAAAGCCAAAGAATTCTTCTTGATGACATCTTATAATAGAGACCGGATAGAACATATATATATATATATAATATTTATCAATATTTTATTTTAAAAAGTGGACCAGACAACAAAGTAGAAAAGTCAGCAACTCATGGTTCTCATTGTTTAACCATTAGACCATTAGTCAAATTAGTGATATAGTAATTAAATAAAAAATATTTATATATATATAAAAAAAATATAAATTAAACATTAAAAATACTGATAATATCATTCCTAATTTACAATTATTCAGTCATGACATATTAAGTTTATTTAAATTTTCTCATTTTTTTATATGTATATTATTTCATTTACTTTATTTTTCCTTTTAAGGTAAATGAGTTTTTAATTTTCTCTATACTGTATACGTATAATGCCAATAAACAAATCATGCACTTAAAATTTTACTATAATAACTCAAGAAAATAAGTTAACATTAATATTTATAAATTGAATAAAATTTTTTATTATTGAAACAAATTAAAAGTAAAAAGAAAAAACAGTCCAACCATTCCAAGTCCCAAGTTAATTCCAGTTCTATCAAAACCATCCAATCCAAAACAAGTTAACAAATCAAACTGAACTGCTTTTGTATCTAAATGGCACCAATCCCACCATTGAATTTTAAAACATTGAAATGTATAGTTTGAGTAACATATAAATAACTCCTCTGATATGCATGCGTACAAAAATTTTAATGCTGTCCACGCATGCCTCCAAGTGCGGCTGACTGAGTGACTGCGTGCTTCGTATGAAAATTGTTGGTGGCCACATAAGTGGAGAAATGTCAACACAGCACTGCCCGTGGTTCCATATATATATATATATATATAACCTATTGAATTACTTGTAGCAGATAGCTCCTATATTATTTAATTAGTTAATTAATATGTTATTATACTCAGCAGAACCTGATGATAAATCAATGAAAATATGTTTTTTGTGTAAATAACTTTTTTAAACTTCAATTAGACTATATGCAAAAAATAAGACCTTAATTAATCTATACCTGTTACATTCTATTAATGAAGTTACCCATTAATTAATGATATGTATGTAAGGTGATTATTTTATTTTCAGTGACTTTATTACCAAGTTTTCAAAACCAACATTGTTTCTACGTAATTCAAAGTTAAAAAAGGTGAAATTTAATCATATATTTATGTATGGTAATTTTTAAGGTTAAATGACAATTTACTCCCTAAATTATAGGTTCGGAAGTGTCTCAATGCCTAAGACTTTAAGCTTGTTTTTGGTGCAAAGTTACCCTTTAATTTTTGAAACCGGTACAATGCCACCCCTACCATTAATAAATACTAACTTTAACTATTAATTGACTAAAAAAATAATAGAAATGGATTCCAAAATTTCATAAAAGGACCAAGAAAGTAACAATAATTAATATTTTTGGTCTTTTTTGCAATTTTTTGGATCATTGTATGAAATTTTCTTTGTCCTTTTTCTATAATTTTGATATCTTTTTCTGTTATTTTCTAGTTAACTAATAGTTAAAACTGACTTTTATTAATAATAAGGACCAAATTGTATCATTTTCAAAAGTTTAAGAGAAATATTACACTAAAAATAAGTTTAGGATTTCAGACATTTCTAGACTTAAAGTTTAGAGGCCAAATTACCATTTAACCTATTTTTTATTGCTTTTTATTCATATTTTTATTGAGGATTTGACCCCTACTTATGGAATAGCTTCACTTCCGGCATTAATGTAAGAAGCAGTTTCGAGAATAAGTTATCCTTTTTTCTTCTTTTGAAGAAGAGAATAAGTTTTGTGGAAATTGACAATTAAAACTATACTATATATAGTCAAATTCGTATCTCTGGTCAAAAAAAAAAAAATTGTGCCCCAAAAAGGAAGGGGGTTGGGGGGGAAGAATCTATATAATTGAAGGCGATCATGAAAGCTACCACAAATTTTGTAATTAAAACATATTTAAAATTATGGCATTTAATTTCAAGATATTCATATTTTTAATTAATTTTTCGTATTTTTTATATTTTGGCAAAAAAAATTATTATATTAATTATTATTGATATAGCAAATATTGATGGTTATGTTTTTAATAATTATTAATTAGTATTCATATTAAGTATGCATTTCCACTAATATTATTATAGAATTTCCCTGTTCCGTCCATGCAAGGGGGATAATGAAAATTTTAAATAAAATTCTTTTGAAAAATGAAAAAGTCTATCAATTAGTTATGTGATATATATGATGTAAATATTTTTTATGTCTTTCAACTTTATTGTATAAAAGGCTTTTATATATGATCAATTTACTCTCAGAGTTGTGTGTTTTGATATATATATATATATATATATAGCAGAAGATTATCAAGTATCGGATGAAACAAACTCAGAAGTTTCCCAGACCGATGAAGTGACGACAACCCTGGAAAGAAGGGGTGGTGTAAGCTTTATGGTGACCAAGACAACGAGGAAAAAGCCGAAAACAGCGGCAACAAGGATTGATATTCCGGCGATGGCGCCGACACGAGCAATCACAGCAATGACGACAAAGCTGTGGGATGATCTTGTGAATAACCCTAAAAAGGAAGGATCCATGGAATACGTCAACAAGAGGAATATACAGTGTGCTGAGAAAATGATAAGAAAAGCATTTGTGGAGCTCTACAAAGCCCTTGGCCTTCTCAAAACATACAGGTATGTGGGTGTCTATATATATATATATTGAAATCTATTTCCTTAATTTATTATTAATTTGAAAATTATTTATAAAAGAGAGTTCTATTAATTTTCTTTGGACAGGGACTAATAATTAGTTAGTATCTTTCAACAGATTCAGTGAAATTTTTTCAGAGAGCTTAAATTATATGTCTCTGATTTATCATTTGTGTAAAATACACTAACATCCTCTCTATTTAATCTAAATTACATAGATATCCTTTTAATTTTGAACTGGACCTTCCTTAAAATTAAAATGTATTTTACTCAAACATCCCTTCTAATTTTAAGATCTACTTCTAATTTTAAGCCTAAATTACATAGATCAAGTGGTTATTTTTAAAGTAAAAATTAATTAATTTTTTTCTAAATTTATTACTATGTTATCAATTTAGACTAAAATATATGTTTTCAAAATAAAGGGAGATATATTAATTAAATAGTAAGAAAGAAAGGATGAATAGAGCATTTTATTCTTGTAGTTTTCATAAAATAAAAAAAAATCCCAAAATGTTGTGATTTACAGTAGTAGAGGACATGTTTGCCTAAATTAGAATGTGAGGAAAAATAATTCACAAAAAAAAAAAAGAATGAGAGGAAAATAGGTCTCTAAATGTGACAAACACAGAATAGGTTTTTAGTATATAAAATTATAAATGAAAGTTGGTACGCATGATGATGATTGGAATATAAGGGTTTAGATTTTTGGGGTCCATCCTTGCAGATATACATAGGTACATATATATATGGTGCAAATTTTAATTAAATAAAATAAAATATATTTAATTTAAACAGTGTAGATAAATTCGTTATTCCATTTTTAATTTTAACGCAAAATATCATTTTATATGTTAAATTAAAATAGCCGATAAGTGTTAAATTGAATGTAAGCGATACCAAATCTAACGACTTGTGTGTGGGGCCAAGATGTTTCTATTTATAATGACATAAACTAATGTGAATTAATTTCTCCACATCCATATTTGTACTGTTTTTAATTTCATTAAAAGATTTTCCTTTTTCAAAAAAAGACCATTATCTTTACGTCCCAAATGTTCCTTCCTTATTTATTTTCATTGGATATATTTGCCGTCTATCCTCATGTTTGATACTTCAGATAATATGAATAATTATTTTACAAAACTAGTGTAGAAAGTTCTTCCCTTTTTTTTTTTTCCTTTTCTAAAATGAAATTACTTGCTATATCAGTCTCTTAATCACAAGTGTAGAAAGTTCACTTTTGATGACTTTCTACAATATTTGTTTAACTGGTTATTTTTACACTTGTGTAAAAAGTGATTTTTAATCGATGAAAAAAAGGTATCCTGCATTAGTGTGAAAGCTTCCAGAATCAATTAAAAAACTTATCATATTACAGGTTTATTACGCCTAAAATCAATAATTAATGTTTCTTGATTTTTTTAGCCTTGTCCCGTAACTACAGGAGACACTAAATTGTACATTTCATTATGGAATGGCGAATTTCATGAAGTTTTCTAATTACTATAATTAATATATATTATCCTTGATTGATTCAGAAAATTCTAATAAAATTCTCGCTCATTTTGGCAGCTCATTGAATATGGTAGCTTTCACAAAGATACTAAAGAAATTTGACAAGGTAAGTATATACTAACACAAAAGTGTTTTAATTTGTTTACGTCTCAAATTTTATATTTCCCAATTTTGTTATGTGATGATTAGTTCTACTATTTTTGTAAATAAGTAGGCATGTGTATCGTATATATGTGCATTGTTGTTGGTGTTTTAGGGTCATATTAATCTTCAAAATTAAAACAAAACCAAATATTATGATGTAAGATCTAGATGAAAATTTGACAATTTTTAACACATCTCTATTTATGATAGAATAGTCCGTCACAAATTAATTTTTTGACGAACATTTTTTTATTTTTACTAAAATTTTACCTTTTTATTGTATTTCATATGTTGCTAGCTATGTAGTTGTAACAGTAGCGCTGTCCGTTAGACTTGGTTTGAATTGAGAGGGAAGTATGACAAAAATAGGGAGAAGAAAAAAGAAGACGAGAAATTTTTAAAAATAATAAATTATCAAGTCTTATATTAATGTATTAATGTTATTCTCTGACTTAGTTCTATAGCATGAATCACTTTTAAAAGTAAACTTGTTATTAAATATCTCCATATTATTTGTGAGCGCTGAGAGGTTATAGCAATAAATCTCGACAAATAAGGTGTAAGTCTAGATCACTTTAGAAGAAACTCTATGCATAGATATATTTTACTACTTTTTAAATTTTTTTCTTTTAATTTTTCTTCCTCTCCATTTTTTTTTCTCATCCAAATGATGGGTGAAGAAGTTATATTGCTAAAATACATTTTGTATGAAGGATAACAAAAGCAAGAAAGAAATGGGAAAGATGAGCACCACACAATGCGGATTGCACTTTTGTGGGGCTTATCCAGCTTCACTTTTATCTCTTTCTACCATTCAAGTAATTTGCACATATATATATATATATATATATGAAGCCTACGTGATTGAAATTTCTAAAAACCACAACTAGTTTATGAGTCACAAAACATGAAGTGTTAAGATAGTGATATGATCCATAACGTAATTACATACTTTTTTGCCATTACCATCTTTAGTGGTATTTTAGGAGTGTTATGTTTTCTTCTGCCCCATTACACGGATAATCACAATACATACACCTTTATATAGGGTTGAAGGTTAGGCACTAAATAGGAAAATTCATCGTAATCCCTCGTGGTTTTTTTCTCATAGTTTGGGGGTTGGTAATCACCCTTTAGTTAAGGGTTGATTTGTGTCTGTTGTTTGTTGCATTGAGAATGTTTCTCTCTCATAGTTAATGTAAATTTATTTGTTCATTTGTTCTTCTAATTACTTGTCGTCAATATATTAGCATGGTACGTATCAGAGTCAGGTTGCAATCTTAGAAATTGTTATTTGCAATTTTTTCTCTTCTCTGCACTTCTACTAAATATATAAAGAGAAGTCACTTCTCTTAATTAAAATAGATAACTATATCATAAGGGTTTACACGAACGCCATCCTTATTTCCTTATACTACATAAGCTAGCTTGTTGGCTTGTTCATCTTAAATTTGTTAACTAATAAAATACCCTTTATTTCAAATTTGATTTGTTTAATATATATTTATTTAACTTAAAGGACATTTTAATTATTTATAGTTGTTATATATTTTATATAAGTAATGTTTATAGTTTTTTTATGTTATTTATGTTTGATACAATTAAGATTAGTTATTTTCATTTTCATTTTCTAATTATAATTCATTTATTTCATTTTTAAAAAAAATCATGGTAGACTAAATTTTAATATACCATTTTTCTATAAAAACGGTATACGCCCAAAGATTTTATTATATATTTATATATTAATTTTATTAAAGTTCTAGAAAATTTTATGTTCTAATTGGACTAACAGGAGATATATGGATCATTTAGGCACAAATATAGAAAGGGATATAATTGATGTTTCTTTAGCAATAATATGACCTCCCTATTCTTTAAAATATGATTTATCTATTTATCGAATTGGTGAAAATGATCATGTAAAGAATTTTTCTGTTGTGAAATGTTAACAAAATATGGGGGAAAGAAGAAAATATTGTTAAAAAAAGTAATGGTGAAAATTCAATTTTTTTGTTTTTTTCCCACGTGGAGTGAAAATTCAAGCTAACATTTATATATTATATCATTCAGTTTATTTCATGTTTTGATATGATGTCCCTTATGATCACAATCGGAAGAGAAATATTTTATCTATGCTCTCTGCTGTGTGGGTATATAAATATATATACGAATTGGAACATTCCTAATCCTTCTTTACAAACACGAATACCATTGCATTATAGAATTTGAGCCACCTACAATTTTATACATATATACATAATATAATATTATAAACTTCCAGATTTAAATTTCCAATTTTCCATGATGTGAGCAGGTATCTTGTCAGAAAGCATCCGCAAATTATTTAAAAGAAGTGAAGAGATCTCATTTTGTTAGTTCTGATAAGGTATGTCAATCGTGCCAAATAATTCTGAAGCCCATGTTTTAAATTAAGTCACCTTGGAAGTATGGGTATGTCAATGTACATAAGATATTTTTACTATTTTTCGAAATAGTTTAAATTTTTAAAAGTTGAGATTCATAAATTAATTTCTGTAATTTTTTTCCATTTTTATTGTTTTGTCATTTTATTATTCAATATAAAACATATAAATATTCTCTTTTTTCTTTAAAAACATATAATAGGTGGTGAGATTAATGGACGAAGTGGAATCTATATTCACAAAGCACTTCGCCAACAATGATAGAAAAAAAGCAATGAAGTTTTTAAGACCCCAACAGAACAAAGATTCTCATATGGTCACCTTCTTTGTCGGTAATCTCTCTCTACCAAAATCATTCCTTGTAAAGATATTGTTATTAATATTAATTAATTTTTAAAAGAAATCCTCTAGTGGCTAAAAACGCACTCACAATAAGGAAAATATAAAATAAAATTAAGCATTTCACGGATGAAAATAATGCAAAATTTATATAATCAATATCACCATCACTATGTGTGGTAATGTATAAAAAAAAAATTGTTACTGTACATGACCAATAAAAATTGGTGCAATTGATAACGGGTTGACTAATAATTCATAAAGTCATAAGTTCCAATTTTGTTGATAATGTAAAAATTATTAACACATTAAAATTTATTTATTTTGATTTGAAATATATTAAATATATATAATACTAAATACATACGGATGGTACTCATTTGTTGTTGTTGTTGTTTTAAAGTGTGGCTGTCAAACTCCTGTTTTATATGCACGATGACAGCACCATCTATTTAAACAGCATCGCAGTATCTGGTGTGATTATTTTTTTGAGCCAATACCCACAGCCTCAGCTGTTTTCCAATATGTAATTAGATTTTTTTTTTTTACTCTACCATGCGTGATTAGAGAGATAATAAATTAAATATATAAGAATATACTAATTAACATTTTTTAACATTTAATTTTATAATCTTTTTCTTTTGGCCGAAAAAAAATTTATAACCTTTCCCCTCACTCTTTTGTATTTATTTTAATATTCAACTCTGCTCTTAATTGCTATTAGTCTATTACTACTATAAGGCGCAATATTAACTAGGCTAGTACACGCGACGTGTTGAATCAATGACTTAAAAAAAAATAAATAGAGGACAATCTAAGCCTTAAACTATAGGCTAAGTCCACGAACGTCTGAAATTTTAAATTTATTTTTAATATAAAATTTTCTTTTAATTTTTTAAAATGGCGCGCTATTACTCTTATAATGTTAATAAAAGTTAACTTTAACTGTTAATTGATTAGAAAATTATAAAAAATCAAAGAAAAAGAAAAGGACCTAATATTATAGATAAGGACCCAAAAAAAATTACAGAAAATTATCAATAAAATTTTCTTGATCATTTTTAATAATTTTGTGATGAACTAGTAGTTAAAATTAGCTTTTATTAACAGTAGGGAATAATATTGTACTGTTTTCAAAAGTGAAGAAGAAATATTGTACCAAAAATAAAGTTTAGTATACCAAATATTCCTAGACCTATAGTTTAGGAGTAAATTTGTTATTTACCCATTTAAAGCAATAACGTTCATATGAAAATAAATTTTTTTAAAGAGAGATAACAACTTGATGGTTTTCAAAGGTTGAAAAAAAAAAAAAAGTTTAGTCTCAAAACTTCCATTTAAAAATTATTTTAAGTTTTTTAAAAAATTTTATTGAAAAATAATTAGTTGTAAATATTAACTCAGAAAATTACAAATACAAAAGTCACAATTAAAAAACAGGAATGTATGACAGTTAAGTTTCATAATTTGCAATGGTTTGTTTGCAACAAATTTTTTAACCAAATTTTTCCGGAACCTTAATGCCAGTGAGTTGAAGCATTCCGACCTTATCGTCATTAAAGAAAGTTTCTCTATTGAACATAGTGAAATGTATGAAGAATAATTATAAAGAATAAAAAATATTAGATAGAGATCATCAAAAGGAGCTACGCTATTGGTGACTTTGTGAAATATTATCACTCTCATGAGGTCGCGGATTCGATCTTGCTAATTTTCAAGCTTCTTTCAGGTTTGCTTACAGGTTGTTTTGCATCATTGTTCTGTGTATACGCAATCTTGGCTCATCTGTGCGGCATATTCTCATCCTCCACAGAACCAGCTTATATGCAAACTGTTTACCCTGTCTTCAGGTATTATATGCCATTAGTTTTCCCTTTCCAGAATTTATCTTTTAAATGATGGAGATTTAATAGCAAATTGATTCCTCATCTAGTAGTGTTTGGAATTCTAAATTAACTTTTGGAATAATGCTCCTTTTCAACTATTGAAAATGGTATAATTTGGTCCTAACCCTAAATAAAAATTGACTTTGATTATTAGTTGACTAAAAAAGAATATATAAAATTATAGAAAAGGATCAATAAAATTTTCTCGACCTTTCTTTTTAACTAAAAGTTAAAGTTAATTTTTATTAATAATAAGAGTTAGATTATAATATTTTTAAAAGTTAAAGAGGAACATCACACTAAAAATAAGTTTAAAGTAACAGACACTTTCGAACCTATAATTTAAAAGTCAATTTGTTAGTTTACCCTTAAATGATTATAGTGTTTTTTGAAGTCTATTTCATTATATTTCTTTAAATTATCAATTCCATATTCCATATAATTTCTAAGAGTGAGTTTGAAAATGTGGATGTGCAGTGTGTTTGCATTGTTAAGCTTGCACTTGTTCATGTATGGATGCAACCTGTTCATGTGGAAGAGTAAAAGGATAAACTACAACTTCATATTTGAGTTCTCTGCAAACACGGCACTAAAGCACAGAGATGTCTTTCTCATATGCACTGCCTCCATCACTGCTGTGATTGGAACAATGGTCATCCACCTCCTCCTAAGGGCTGCCGGCTTTTCTGCTTCCCAAGTTGATGCCATTCCAGCCATTCTTCTTCTGGTCAGTCAAATTAAATATATCAATTCATTAATTATTTCTTTTCATATACTCCTGCCCCAGTATTTATTATAAGTCAATTTTTTAAAGAAAATTAATGGTCTTTAATGTAAGGTATTGATGAAGTATTAATTATATTTTTGGATTAATATGCCATTTGAATTCTAATTATAGGTTCAAAGGATATTTAAACTATAAACTTTAATTAGGTGCATTCTAAGTCCTAAACAATTAAAGTTAGTGCAATTTCACCCAACTATTAAATTAAAATAAACGTCTATTATTTCTTAAAAAAATGGGACCTAATGTGTGATTTTTACAAGATTTCACTTTCTCTCTCTCTCTCTCCCTCTCTCCTATCTCCTTTGAGGAATTGCTTATAAAGCCTAATTTTTTTATTAAAAAAACAGACGCTTACTTTAATTTAACAGTGGGTGTAAAATTATATCCACTTTAATTATTTAAAGTTTTGAATGTATCAAATAAGAGTTTAGAGTTCAAATCGTCTCTAAACCTATGGTTCAAAGTTCAAATTATATATTAACCCTATAATTTTTAATAGTGTCCCTATTTAAATTCAAATTTGGCTTCTCTCTATCTTTTTTCTTTTCACTTCCCATCTCAACCCTTGGATCAATTTTTGAATGGTTAGGATTAATATTTCATAAAATATTGTTTAAAATGTTAATTATGAATATAAATAAACAAATTTAAAATATAAAGAATTTTATCTAACAAAATTTCAAGATTTAGGATTGTAAATAAAACAAGTTAATTTTATAAAATGTTAAATCCTAACCATTAAAAAATTGATCCAAGGATTGAGATAGGAAGCGGAAAGGAAATAAATGGAGAGAAGCCAATTCCTTTAAACTCATTAATTATGTAGAAACACATAATGCAAATTTAAAATTTTTCATTTAAATATGGGTGAGATTATAATTTATTTATTTTTACAATAAGTTAATGACTTAACTACCTCTTAGTGTTTCCAATGAGGTGATTAGATTTCCTTATAATAGAAACTGGAAGGAGTATACTCTCTCTGGTCCTAAATTTATAAGCAAAATTAATTAATTTCATAATTTTAAAGAGTGGTAGCTGATACCTTAATTTATAGAAAAATGTGTGAATTTCTAGTTTTTCTATTCATTAAAATGGATTACCATAATAAAGTATTGCATAGAAATTAAAAGCATGTTAACAACTTCGCTTACAATTAAAGGGGCACAAGGTTGAAAGAAAGTTTAGCCATCATATATTAAAGACCACGTAGTGCTTTAAAACTTTTTTCTATAATTAGGATTGGAGGGAATATATTGCCTAATTATATATTGGAGGGAATATACATATATTATTTTATCTAGTAATATATTGCCTCCCTTTTGCAGTTTTTCATAGTCCTTCTCATCTGCCCACTTGACATCTTTTATCGCTCCACACGTTACTCCTTCATTCGGGTTATTCGCAACATTGTGTGCTCTCCTTTCTACAAGGTAAACTACATATATATAGATATGTTGTGTGTGTGTGTGGATGTATGTATATTAATTCTCTCGTTAGCTCTCATTGTTTTAATTGATTATAATAAGAGAGATAAGAAAAATTTTATCATTCAAATTTATTTTAATTATTAATTTATTCCTTTAATTTTTTATTAGGAATTATATTGATAACGGAAGCAAATTTGATGGACTAAAACTTTCATGATTTCTTATAATAGAGTGAATAATTGGATTTGATCACTGGCACATGCAGTTTTGCTGGTAGATTTTTTCATGGCTGACCAATTAACAAGCCAGGTTAATTAACGAACAAGTTGATTGTATTATCATCCATTCTGAAATAACCGTAATTAATTAACGTACGTCAATAATATAATTAATATACATGTTATTAATAATGCAGATTCCATTGTTAAGGCATTTGGAAACCACAGGCTGTCACTTATCTGCTAGAATCTTCAATACACACCACCCAGAGACCTGTCATTCTGGAAGGTTGTACATGGAAATAACTTATATCATCTCCTTCTTGCCATATCATTGGCGCGCTCTGCAAGTATGTATACATGCCCTTCCAATTTTCTTTCACTACTGTAAATTGATATATAGATTTTGTTATTGGACTGTGCAACATTATAATCTTCGCGCGAGATTATTAATATAATTGTACATTGCTAACAAAATGAGAATTCCAAACTGGGTATGCTTGTTTAATTATCATGTTTTCAATAAGAACATTTCAAGCCCAATGCAACATGATCGTATCATTTATGAGTGATGCGAACAAGAATACTCAAGCACATGTTTACTGAATTTATTATAGGGTTAAATGGCAAATTGGCCCCTCAATTATAAGCCAAGAGTGTTTGAAACCCTAAACTCTTACTATTAACAAAAATTAACTTTAATCATTAGTTGACTGAAAAATAATCTTAGAAATTACATTAAATGACTACGAAAATTTTCTTGACATTTACTATAATGTTTTGGATCCTTGTCTATAATGTTAGGGTCTTTTCCGAAATTTTCTTGGACCTTTCCTATCATATTTTTGTTCAACTAACAATTAAAGTTAACTTTTGTTAACAGTAGAGGCAACATTACACTTTTCAAAAATTAAAAAGGAACATTGCACAAAAAAATGAATTTAGAATGCTAGACACTCTAGGACATATGATATAAAGACCAATTTGCCATTGAACCCATTGTTATACACACATTGCATCACTGAGATCATCAGACAAATAATACATTTTTTTTATAGACATAATAATCTATTTTGTATGAATGTTGGTACAAGTGTGCAAGGAGGTGGTTCGATGATTCAGATTTGAACCATCTAGTAAACATGGGGAAGTATGTTTCAGCCATGGTGGCAGCAGGAGCAAGAGTAACGTATGGCAGACGAGAAGACAATCTATGGTTTGCTATTGTATTGATAACTTCTGTCGTGGCCACCGTGTATCAATTGTATTGGGACTTTGTTAAGGACTGGGGTTTCTAAATCCCAACTCAAGAAACCCATGGCTCAGAGATGATCTAATTCTAAAGAACAAAAACGTATACTACATATCCATAGTAAGTCCTTGATACCAAGTCTCTCTCTCTCTCTCTCTCTCTCTCTCTCTCTCTCTCTCTCTCTACCCCCACCCCCTCCCAATTGGGTTAGAGGCCTTTAATATGCCTTTTCTCCAGGCAAGTTAATTTGTTATCAAAATTACAGGTTGGAGAATGAGCATTTAAATAACGTGGGTCATTTTCGAGCAGTGAAGGCGGTTCCATTACCATTTAGAGAGACTGATTCTGACAATTGATGTTCTTTTCTCTTACACGTGAACATGTCTTCTAAAGTGAGTCGACATAAGAGGGAAAAGTACTTCTGCAGAAAAGTCTATTTACGTAGGTTATTTAGAAACATTTTACATTAACATTTAAAAGGTAGTAAATATTAGGGACTTGGAATATTAGTCCGTACCATGCGTGCATCTTTTAATTGATTGAGAATTTAGGTCGTCCCTCATCATTTATCTGATGCCAAGAATCATTCAAGTATCAATTGCCACCAAGTGTATGGCATACTGAAATGTATCTTAGGAGACATTTCTTTCGTAAATCAATTTCCTCTAATTATCCCTGGCAAAAGTCTAAATTTTAATAAAGAAAGTCTCGTTGAAATATTATATTATATATATATATATATATATATATCATGGATTTTTATTAATCAGTATTGAGCCTAAAACATGTTTGTTATTTATAATTTTATATGGACTGTGATAGATAGACTATAAGTGAGCCCCTTGAATAGAGGCTCAACTGATGACAACTCTTTAGTCATTAATTATTGTGTCCATATATTTTAATTAGCTTACTAGGTCAAGTTTGAGAGAGTTAAAAATAATTAATTAAGTCATATTTATAAGTGAAGATAACCCTGGTCCTCATCAGGTTCAACAGATCATCGTCTTCCACACTCTCCAATCTTTTATGTACCATTTGAAAGTTGAGGGGTTTTATAGGTTGTAAACCCACCCGCTCCCGAGGTAAATTGAGATCTCCTTAATTAGGTTTGTATTCTCTCTATAGCAATGCATTTTCAGGCACGCTCAAGAAACTTAACTTTGATTATGTTATTTCAATTTATGAGATATTTTCAACACTGGTATTAGTGCATCGCTGAAAATATTCTTCTTGCTGTGAGAATTAATTATCTTCATTGAAATTGTTAAAATTAGTATCTCAATGCATATAACTCAAATAATATAAGTAAAATCAACATGCATACCTGAGGAATTCATAGCTTATGACTTCTCAATTACCTCGAGTATAGACAAGTATACAACTAGTAGACCTTCATGGTTGTCAAATAGTGCACAGACATAGTAGAGAAAATATAAGAGAGACGTGTGTTGGTTATGATTGATTGTATCTTATTATATTATATTATTATTGAATTTAAAATTCAAAATAATGATATCTTAAAACAAACACAAAATCATATCAATAACCACCTTATTAATTAATTAATTATCTTTCTATATTTTTGATTCAATCAGATAGGAGATGAGGAATAACTTAATATTTCAAAGTTGTAGGTTGGGCATTTGCCCATTAAACTAACTTGTATAGTTCACTCATCACAGTTCATATAAGATCATAAAAACTAATATGTTATGGGATCATTAATTAATACAAATCCATATTATGCAAATCCATATTGTACAAATGTTCCAACAATTTCCCACTTGAATTGCATTAATCATTGCTGCAAAATGCATACACATTTCGGAGCACATCTTTTGGAGCACTTTGTCACGGGATTATTACTCTCTTTCAAAAATGCTAACCTATTGAAGCGTGCAGCATACCCACTTCTATAGCTAACACCCTCTTCAAGTCCCTTTGATATAGGAAATAACAATTCTCCCAGTCAATCCGTAACCCCCCATCACAGGTAGCCTACTAAAAGGGCTCACCAACTAGGTAAACTCAAGTTTGGCTTTAATATTCCTTTATCACAAGGTCATTACACTGTCCTCAAAAAACTAACCTATTGGGGCATCACCACTATAAAAATTTATATATAAGATGCCAAAAAAATGACGGTTAAAAGAAAATACGTCATATATGTGAGAGATAGGTGATGGTTAAAAAATAAATGATACATTTTTAAAATAAACCATGATTTATTTAAATATAAATGACGGTTATTTTAAAAACCTGTCATATAAAGTTTAAAATCTAATTTTTCAAAAAGGAAAAAAATTTAAATAACATATGATGGGTGTTTTAAACACCCATCATATGTTGTGGAGGATTTAAATGATGGATGTTTTAAACACCCTTCATTCAAAGCTTGCTAAGATTTCATATTTCTAATAATAGAAAATAAAAAAAATTAAACTTTAAATTACAGATATTTAAAACACTGTGATTTAAAGACTTCACAATATATGATAGGTGTTTCAAACACCCATTATATAGTGGGGAATAAATGACCAACATTAAAATACCTGTCATTTATTCCCTTTTAATAACCGTTCTGGTTCATTTTTCAGTTCGTGTCTGATCGTCTCCTCACCTTCTCTCTTCTCCACTTGCACATGAAATCGATAGAACTCCCACAATCTTCCTTCATTGCTATCGTCGACAACCATCATTTATTTTAAATGAATAAATGATTGTTATTTTAAAAACCCATCATATAAAGTTTAAAATCCAATTTTTCAAAAAAGGAAAAAATTTAAATAATATATGACGGGTGTTTTAAACACCCATCATATTGTGGGAGCTTTAAATGACGGGTGTTTTAAATATCATTCATTTAAAGGTTGCTAACGTTTTAGATTTTTAATAACAAAAAAAAATTAAACTTTAAATGACGGATGTTTAAAACACCCATGATTTAAAGACTTCACAATATATGACGGGTATTTCAAATACCCATTATATATTGGGAAATAAATGAAACACCCGTTATATATTAGAGAATAAATGATAGACATTTTTCAGGTCATGCCTGATCGTCTTCCTTGTCTCCTCTCTTCTCTACTTGCACATGAAATTGATAGAACTCATATAATCTTCCTCCATTGCTATCGTCGACCACTGTGGACTGCTCCAACATGAAGCCACTACCTCTTATGCTATCATTCATAGTCTGGGCTTCTTCCTCTTTGGGTTTTAATCCTCTTTGCTCTAAGGTGTGATTTCTTTTTTTTCCCCTTCATTTTCTTGCAATATTTTTAGATTTCTAGCTTATGGGAATGATTTATTTAATGTTGTAAATTGTTTTATTAGTTGATTTTCTTGTGTAAGTGTCTGCTCATTTGTTACCCATTTTGGTATTGTGGGGTGTTGCAAATTATTAATGTTTGATGTGTTATTGACTTGAAAATGCTAGTGGATGATATAGGTAGCCTTAGGATAATTGTTAGGATGAAAATAAGTTATCAAAATGGGATATTTATGATAGTTGTATTTTTTATGAATTTTGAATGATTTATTTGAATACAAACAACACAACAACAACAACAAGCCTTATCCTACTACGTGAGGTCAGTTATATGGATTATATAATGACATTGTGCTCTATCATTTATTAAGTTTTTAGGAATATTATTTTAGAAATATTATTAATTAAAAAATCTCACTCAACAACTTTCAAAAGTGTTTTCTTCGATCTTTCTCTACCTTTCTTGACAGGGCTCAAAGTTATCTGTTTCACTCTCCTCACAGGTGCCTCCCGTGGTCTTCTTTGTACGTGTATGAACCACCTCAAATGATTTTCTATCATTTTTTCTTCAATAGGTGCCACACTCACTTTTTTCCGTATTCACTCATTTCAAATTTTGTCTTTACATGTATATCCACACATTCATTTCAACATTCTCATCTCTGCTACTCCAACTTTATACTCTTGCTATCCCGTCAAAGTCTAACATTCACTACCATATAAAATTACTGGTCTCATAGCAGTTCGCTAAAACTTTCCTTTAAGCTTATCAAGTACCTCACAATTGCAAATAACTCCTTTAGCCTTTTTTCAATTAAACCACCCCGCCTGTATCCTATGTACAATATCTCCATCAATATCTCTATTTTGTTGAATAGTCGCTCCTAAATATCTAACTTTTTCACTTGAAGTGGTCTGATTACCCAATTTCATTTTCAAGTTACTATTCACGAATCCCTTATCAAAATTACAATGTAAATATTCTGTATTACTCATACTCAGGTGAAAACCTTTTGACTCCAACGTCTTTCTCCATAACTTAAGTTTACAATTTATCTCTTCTCTTATCTTTACAATAAGAATTATATTATCAGCAAAAAGTATGCATTTTAGAATTTTCTCTTAAATATGCTCAGTTAAAATATCTAACACTAGATCAAACAAATAAGGACTCAAAGATAATCCTTGATGCAATCTAATCTTTATACGAAATTTTTTTGTTTCACCACCAGGCATTCTTATACTAGTTGTTACTCTCTCATACATATCTTGTATAGCTCAAATATAGGCAATTTGGACACCTTTATTTTCCAAAGCTTTTCAAAGTACTTCTCTCGGTACACAATTATAACCTTTTTTTCAAATCAATGAAAACCTTATTCAAATCTCTGTCTTTACATCGATACTTTTTCATTAATTCCCTTAGTAGATAAATCGCTTCTGTAGTCGCTCTCCCTGGCATGAAGCCAAACTAATTCTCCAAAATCCCAATTTTCATTATCAACTTATGCTTAGTCACTCTTTCCCATAATTTCATAATATGACTCATAAGTTTAATTCCTCTATAGTTAGCACAATTCTAAATATCTCCTTTATTTTTATAATAGAAACTAAGATGCTTCTCTTCCAATTGTTCGACATTCTCTTGGATTGTAAAATTTCATTAAATAACTTAGTTAACCACCACACTTCTTCTTCACCCAAATATTTCCACATTTCAGTAGGGATACAATTAGGTCTATTGGCTCTACCATTTGTCAGTTTCTTAAGAGCTTCTCTCACTTTCTAAGCTCGTATTCTTTGATAAAAAGACAATTTTGCTATTTCAGAAGTTACTAAATCTTCCAAGTTAATTGATGATCCCCCATCATCATTGAAAAGCTTAGAAAAGTATGTCTCCCATTTGTCTTTAATATCATTATCTGTGACCAAAACATTTCCTTTTCATCTTTTATACACCTTACTTGTTTCAAATCTCTTGATTTTCTTTCCTTACTCTTAACAATCTTATAAACTTTTCATTCTCCATCCTCTGTCATTCAAAACTATGTGCCTTATTTGATCAGAGTAGTTTTATCATTAAAAACTACATATTGAAATATACTAAGTACCAAATTTCATTACAATTGAAGTTGATTTAGATAATCAAAACTGACACGTAGTTTTTTTAAAAATCATTGTTATTTTATTGAGATTTTAACATCTTTTAAAGAATAATGTTTTCTTGCTTGTGATTGCTAATGTAAGTTGTATGTAACCTTAGAATGATCAATGAGACAAAAAATATTGATTGAAAATGATGTTTATGACTTTTGTATGTGATTTTTAAATGAATTTTAGATATAATTTTATAATAATTAAAATTGATTTGAAAATGCTATTTTGTGAGAATTTTATTGTTATTGGGATTATATGTGGTTGAAATTAATTTGTTGAGCGAGATGTCAATTTTAAAAAGAGGGTTTGAGCTTGTTAGATGATTTACCCATCATTTATTAAGACTTTAAATGATAGCTAAATTTTTTCCCATCATTTATTCTTTCCCCTAACAATGTTGACAGTTAAAAATTATATTTTAAATTAGGTTATATAACCGTAATTTATTGAGAGAACTTTAAATGTCAACCACATAAATTATGGGTATTTTATGGACAAAAATAACTGTCATTTATTGCTTTTTTATAGTAATGCATACAACGCATCCACTTATATAGTCAGGATCCTCTCCAAATCTCTCAAATGTAGGACATAACAACTCACTCAAAAAGCACTTGGATGAGAGTTGTAGCAAATGTATAGGAGCGCTTTTTTAAAAAAGTGCTCCTGTACATCAAGCCTTTCGGAGCACTCATTAGAAGAGCGCTCCAAAAGGTAAAGATAAAAAAAAAAAAAAATTAAAATTTTTTAAAAACTCTGAAGAGATAAATTAAACAAAATTAAAAAATAAAGGTTAAAATCTTTTAAAGTGCTCTATAGAGGAGCGCTCCGAGAGGCTTGATAAAAATTGAAATAAAAAAAGATAGGAAGCCTTTCGAAGCGCTTAGTCTGTGAGCATTGCAAAAGTGGTAGCCTTTCAGAGCCCTACAGACTAAGTGCTCTGAAAGGAACTTTTTGAAGTGTGCTTGCAAAGAGTGTTGCGAAAGGCTATTTCTTTTTGCCTTCCAACGCATAAATCAAGCCCTTACCCCCACATACTAGTTTTCACTTCTCTCACTACCTATTCCATTAGCTTAAGAAGTCGTCGGTCCTTATGTTGTTGCCCGTCCGTTTGCCATCTGTCACTGTCATTCATGGGTTCACAATCGTTCACCTCAAACCATAGATTTGTGTCTCAAAATCACAGATCTATACAGCATCTGTCGTTGCCAGCCATTGCCTCTACACTGAAAGAAACTGCCATCCGTCTCTGTGCCGACCGCTGGAAAAAAAGCCATTGAAGGTAATTTTTTAATAAATAATATTATAATAAATCCATATATATATATATGAATAATTTAGATATAAAAATATATAGATAATCTGTTATTGAAAATATTTATATTGGAATTATGAAGAATTTGAGGTTGTTAATTACATGATTGAAATTCTCATCTTAGTTTAGCTTCAAGTTGAGTGTAGTAAATTATGATGAATGGAAGGTTGATATTGTAGAGAAAACTCTATCTAGAATTTTTCATTATATTTATGATTTTGTTTTCCTTTTAGGAGGTTTCACTTTTAGGGAAGCTTATTATTAAATTACAATTGATTGATAGAATTTAGATGCATTATGCTACTAAATTTTTATTGTATGATGAATTGATTTATTTAGTTTAAATGTATCATGCTATTAGATTTTATTTTTGATTATTTGAGAGTTTCTCTTTTAGGGGAGACTCTACCAATTTTTTTAAAAAATCTATTTTTTGTTTATTGATTAAGACCCTCGTGAAGTCATATGTCCTTGTTTAAAATGTTGCTATGAAAGACGAGAAAGGCTGACTAATAGAATTGAAAAATCATTTGATATGTAATGGCATTGATCCAACTTATACCTTTTGGACCATCCATGTGAAGACAAGAAATAACACTAGTGATTAGACGGATAGTACAAGCTACTCAACATTCACTACTATAGAATATATCTTTAGAGCGGGTATTTAGGAGTGCTTCTTTAAAAAGCGCTCTAAAATGTGAATGCAGAATTTATCGGAGCGCTTTTCCAAATAAGCACTCCTGTATGTCAGGGCTTCTCAATAAGATAACGCTCCTAATTAATATAAATAAAATATTGTAAAAAATTTAAAAAGATCTTTGGGAGCGCTCGTAGTTAAGTGCTCTGAAAGACTATCTTCCGGAGCGCTCGATCTTCCGGAGTGCTCTTGGAATGAGCGCTCCGAAAGCTCATCTTCCGGAGTGCTCTTTTAATGAGCGCTCCGAAAGAGTTGATCTTCCGGAGCGCTCGTCAAAGAGTGCTCCGAAAGAGAGATCTTTCGGAGTGCTAGTCAAAGAGCGCTCTGAAAGAGAGATCTTCCAGAGCGCTCTTTGACGAGTGCTTCGGAAGACCACCTCTTCTAGAGCGCTCGTTAATGAGCATTCCGGAAGAGGTGGTCTTTTATATCTCTGCCTCTCGTCAGTTTTCTTTTCCCTATTCATGAGTTTCTTTCAAACCTCTCTCTCATTTGCTGAGGTTGTGCATTCCCAACGAGTTCCAGATCGTCGCTGTATCAGTCTATCTTCCATCGCTGTTTTCTGTTCCAGATCGTCGTCCGCCGCTGTTCGCTGTTCCAGATCATTGTTCGCCACTATTCGCTGTTCCAAATCGTCATCCACTACTATTCATTGTTCCAGATCAGTGTTCATCACTGTTCGTTCATTTTTGTGTCATGTCGCGCCATCTGTCTCTATTTTTGCACTGCCGTCGCCGTCACGCCATCTCCCAAATCACTATTCCAGATCTGCATTGCTGTTCCAGATCTGTGACGCTGCTGTACATTGGAGGAAGCGACGCCGTGAAGACCTCCGTTGCAGCCGTGTGTCATTGTTGTACAGCTGAGGAAGCAACGCCTCAAAGACCTCTGCTACTGCCGTGAAGACTACACTGTGAAGGTATTTTTTAATAATTAATTTATAATGTAATATATTGATATGTTTATATATATTTGAGAATAAATTTCATATATATTTTTAATAATCAATATTTAGATAATATATGAATTGGAGTTATTTATATTAGAATTATGGAGTATTTGTAGTTGATAATTAGATTAAAGTTGAGGAAACTACTTGAACATTTTTAGTTTATTTATGAAATATACTTTTAAGGGAGATTATTGTTATTAATTAAATTACAATTGATTGACAGAATTTAGATACATTATGCTACTAAATTTTTATTTGGATGATTGATTGTTTTAGTTTAAATGTATTGTGTTGTGGAATTTGATTGTTTGATCATTTGGGAGGTTCTTCTTTTAAGGAAGATGTTGTTGAATTTTTTTTTATAGAAATCTAAGTCTTTTGTTTATTGAATTTTGATAATCATATTAGTGATATGGATCATAAGTGGATGTCGGCTAATCGACTATCTAGAGAATATTGGGATGGTGTGGATTAATTCATTGAATTTGCATTTTGTTCTGATCAAGACCCCCCTGGAGTCATATGTCCTTATTTGAAATGGTGCTATGGAAAAAGAGTAAAGCCAATAGAATTGAAAGATCATTTAATCTGTAATGGGATTGATCCAACTTATACTTGTTGGATCATGCATGGGGAGGCAAGGAATAATGCAAATGATTGTAGGGATAGTGCAAGCTACTCAACATTTGATCGTGATAGCAGGACATATGATGTTAACCGTCTTGATGAAATAATTCATATATATAACTTCATCGCTGAAGTATTTTAAATTAAGTTAGAATTTATTTCTACCATATTTTGATAATGACATCTTTTATTATTTATAGGTACCTACACAATTACAAGGTTAGGAGTGTGGATACTATGTTATGAAGTTTATGAGAGAAGTAATCACACAACAAGAGTTGATCATTCCTGAAAATGTAAGTCAAAAGCTTTGAAATTAAGTTGATATAATGTTAATTATTTATATATTGCTTTCATATCTTGTGTAGCATTTTGTTGGAGTAAGATGTTCGCATTTTACTATGGAGCAAATAGAAGATTTAGTTAAAGAGTTGTCAGAATATATTGTGGGCTGTTTGTGATAGGAAGTTAGATTTCAATGTTAGAAAAAATAACAATAGTTTCATTTGTTAGGCTTGTTAGAAATTAAACTAGGTTAGTTAGGAAATTGAAATTGTTTGTATCAGTTTTAAATTCTTTTCTTGTATATAAATTTTTATGTTGATATTATTTTTAAATTAGTTTTTGATATTATGATTTACCATTGTTAAAGAGACGTAAAAAGAGAAAGAGAAATTTCAAAAAATCTGATTTAAAAAAAATTAAAGTAATATACGGGAGCGCTCATTTGAAAAGCGCTCCTGTAAAGTAACATACGGGAGCGCTCTTCCAGAGAGCGCTCCTATATGGTTCATACGGGAGTGCTCTTTATAAAAGCGCTCCGGTATGGTTGCATACGGGAGCGCTCTCAAGAGCGCTCTCATATGTGATGTGTGGGAGCTCCCTTACGGGAACGCTTTTTGAAAAGCGCTCCCGTATAGTGTATATATAGGAGTGCTTTTTTTAAGCGCTCTTATACATTTCAGAGCGCTTGATATGAGAGCGCTTCAAAAGCGCTCCCTAAAGTAAAAAAAAAAGCGCTCCTGTAAACTTATTTTGTAGTAGTGATTATTTGATTATGATAGTGGGACATATAATGTTAACCATCTTGACAAGATGATTGATATGATTGAAGAAGATCTTAAGGATTATCCTGAGATGTCTGAGATATAGAAGAGCGATGCTAATAAACCATTGTACCTTAGTTGTAAGAAATTCATAAAATTGTCAATTCTTTGAAAATAGTACAACCTAAAAGTGACTAATGGATGGAATGATAAAAGTTTCACAAATTTGCTTGAACTTTTGTATGAGATATTGCTAGATTACAATAAACATTCACCTAATACTTACGAGGCTAAAAAATTGCTCTATTCTATGAAGATGAGCTATAAGAAGATATATGCATGTCCCAATAATTGTGTCCTCTTTCAAAATAGTATTTAGCCTTAGATAAGTGTCCCAAATGAGATGCTTCATGGTACAAAGAGTTTTCAACCTTATTTTTAACTTCTCACAATCTAGGGTGAGTTGTTATTGTTATTTATCTTTAAATCTAGTTGACATTTGAGTTAATGCAATATTTTATCTTTTCAAGCAACATTGGATGCTTGTTTATATCAATCCATTCATCTCTATGATTTATTATCTTAATTAATTAAGCAAGTAGTATTATCAAGCCACAAACAAAATTCAAAAAAATGAAACTTCGCAAAATCAATGGATCTTATTGGAAATCAAGTGATATTAGATATAAATAAAATGTCTCATAATATGAACAGAACATAATAAATAAATTTTTATTTCAAAGCTTAATGGAAGATAACTATACATGACCACTAATTCCTATAAGCAACAAGTTATATGTAAAGTATTGTTTCAAAAATAGTATTTAGCCTTAGATAAGTGTCCAAAATGAGATGCTTCATGGTACAAGAGTTTTCACCTTATTTTTAACTTCTCACAATCTAGGGTGAGTTGTTATTGTTATTTATCTTTAAATCTAGTTGACATTTGAGTTAATGCAATATTTTATCTTTTCAAGCAACATTGGATGCTGTTTATATCAATCCATTCATCTCTATGATTTATTATCTTAATTAATTAAGCAAGTAGTATTATCAAGCCACAAACAAAATTCAAAAAATGAAACTTCGCAAAATCAATGGATCTTATTGGGAAGCAAGTGATATTAGATATAAATAAAATGTCTCATAATATGAACAGAACATAATAAATAAATTTTATTTCAAAGCTTAATGGAAGATAACTATACATGACCACTAATTCCTATAAGCAACAAGTTATATGTAAAGTATTGGCCAAATATCATTGAACACGAGAGAAACAAATGATATAAAGGGCAACACACAGTTCCAAATTTTCTTTAATTTGAATTGAATATAGAGTAGGTTTTTTGACTACAACATAGTAAAGAGATGACACAAAGTCACTAAACCCTATAGGAAAATAAGATAAGGTACACTAACATTGTGAAATAGTAAAATGGTCTTAAACCATTAAATGTGCTTAAGAGGACACAACTCAGACTCTCATTAAACCAAAGCTATTACAAAATTACAGTAATAAAACCTGCCACATGAGTAATTAAGCTTTTAGTCATATAAATGCATAAGCATTATTCAACATAAGTGTGAACCAAAGAAGTCAGAATGTCTGTAATATTCTCTAACAAAATCTTTGAGAGAAGCTTAAGGTAGACAAAATATCACAATAATGGTTAGGGAAAAAACAACAAAATGCATGTCCAATAATACTTTGCTCAACCATATAGCCTAATGAAAGGTTTTACAATGGGCGATATATATTTTACATCTTAAATTGAGGTAGCTAATAGACCAAACGAGATTATAAGATGTAATTTTCTAAGTCTAATAGCTCCCGATTAAATAAGCCTTCCAAAATTATTCCAAACTGGGAATACTTTGGCCTCAGATTGGGGTTCTTTTAAGCTACTATTAATATTATTAATCCATCAATCTCTTCCTTTCTTACGTGAAATAAGAAGACATCAAGAACTCACACTTAGGCTAACGAAGGGCTATTCAGACCAGGACATACACTCCTAGGCCAACCCCATACAAAATTCAAGATGTGCTCCCTGACACCAAATATCCCATTAAAGTTGCACCGAATAACAGTGGGCTTAAAGTATTTTTGGCAATATTCGCTGCGTCATTCTCGTAAAAAATGTCGTCCCTAATTCATTTTTCCAATAGTGAAATTATCACCATCAAAGAAATTCAGTTGGACTTATACAACTATTTATGATAAGCCTTGTCAAAAATGTTAGGCTATCAAGGCAGGTACACAACTTACTAAGCCTCATAGTTGTCGATGAGTGCAAAGATAGTAGAGAGGATAGAAGAGAGACATGTGTTAGTTATTGACTGATCATATCTTATTATATCATATTATTATTGAATTGAAAATTCAAAAAAATGATATCTTAAAAAAGATACAGAATTTTATCAGTAACCACCTCATTAATTAATTAATTATCTCTCTATATGTTTTACTTGGTCAATTCAAAGTTAGGGAATAACTTACTATTATAGGATTGTATCTATCTATTACAGTTTCAACAAGATCATAAAAACCAATATGTTCTAGACTCAATAATAATTAATGCAAATTCATATTATACAAATATTTCAACAGATACTTGATATGTAGAGATGGTGACTTTTAAATTCTCAATTTACAATTTAGATTCAATTTCAGATGTGATGAAATCATTTTTCCCTAATTTCTGCTACTATATTAATCGTGAAAGAACCCGAAAAGGCGAAAAAGTATGTACTTCAATTCTGGAACTTAAAACTCTGTTCAGAAGTTCTTTGGTAACCAAACACCCATGCAAGCCTTCAATGATCGAATTGACTGACTGTTAGTGAGAATCTCGAAAGAGAATTATTAATTTTACCTTTATCAATAATTTAAAAAAAAAACATAATTGTTTTTTATTTCAAAAGAGATTTTTTTAACAGAATAACTCACATAGGCAAATTTTTATTTATTAAGTTATTTGACTTGTTAATATATATGTATTGAGATTTATAAACTAAATACTTACTACTTGATCTATATATAAGAAATTAAACATAACAATTACATGTGTATTTTTTTAGTTTTCTAATTATTATTTTCTATTTTTTTTACATTTTTATATATTTTTTTGTATTCTTTAATTTAATTAAAAGCTCAGATCAAATAAATGCTCAACATGTTCTGTTGATGAAATACATGCCCCAGATGGGGATGTTTATTGGCATTTCAAAAATAAAAAGTAAATGATATATATATATATATATATATATTGTATTTATGCATGAAATTATAGTTAACTCATACAAACATAAAATGTAACGACCATAAATTTAATTTGTGGTTTGAATTTGAATCTTATGAATCAACAATGCATTGCCGAGCTCACCTAGTTGTATACAACCATTCATGTTTAAAAGGGGTTACGATTTCTCTTGCTACTAACGGAGTAATATATGATGTGCTGGCTCATGCCTCGGAAAATCTGTGCATAGAGGACTGTCTCGTTAACTGAAATACCAAGGAGAGAAATAAGCAGCTTGGTTCTTGGACGAGGAAATAATAAAAATTATTATAAATATATAATGGAGATAATGAAATTTTTAGTCATTTAAATTTGTCTCAATTATTAATTTGGCACTTAAAATTTAATTTTTATCAATTAGTCCCTTACATTTTCTTAAATTATCACATTAGTCTTTTAAGTTTTAAAAAACAAACTAACTCTCAAATTAATTTAATATGTAAAGTATGTTGATGACTTGACATGTATATATAGCTTAAATGAGAACAAATTATCTATCAAATCAGTTTAGTTTTCATCAATATAGCCTGTTATATTACATTTTCTTCTTTTTTAAAAAAATTTAAAATTTATTTTTCCCTGCATAAATAATGGCATTTCTTTCCGTTAATCTGCATGGCTATTATCAATATTCCATTATTTATGTCAACAGATTTTAATAGGATTACTTTCTTTTAAAAGAATAGAGACTGAATCAATAATTGATTGGGAAAATTTAAAGAACTAAATTGGTAAAAATAAAAAATTTAAGTACCAAATTAATGATTAAAATAACCTTGAGGGATTAAAAGTTTTCTTATCAATGCGCGTTTGAATTGTCTAGTTTGTAGAAACAAATGGAAGAAAGCAAGCTGTCAAGGAAGCCTTGATCAACAAAGGCCAAGAACAAGCATATGCCATTGATATTTGCTTTGGTGGATGGCTAAGGTCATCATTACTCTTTATATATATACACGTCGCAAATTACCTTAATTCCATTGTTCCATCTTCACCACGTACGCATTTATTCTGTAGTTTTTCACTGCAGGCAGGTTAGTGTCCCCCCCCCCCCCCCCAATTTTTATGTTGAAGGCCATGTCTTCAAGTCCTGTCGCGCTTTCT